TTTGCTGTTTTTGTTTTTTTTGTTTGTTTTCTTTGTTGTTTTTCTTCCAGTACCAGGAATTGAACTCACGACCTTATGCTTGCCAGGCAGGCGCTGTGCCGCTGAGCTAAATCCCCAGCCCCCTCTTCTATATTCTTGAATATTGTTAATGAACATACTCATACATACACAGGAAAATTTTTTAAAATTTGCATGCCTTAATTTCTTCATGTTCATGAAAAGTCTGTTTGAATGGATTACCAAAAGTGGAAAATTTAGAAGTTCTTTTTCTGAACATGGTAGAATAGAGTTATTGTCAGAGGATGAAGAATGAACGTAGGTCAAATTACAGCATCACATTTTATTTACTCCATGGTAAATTTTGAGTGGTTGGTCCCGTTGTGAAAACCAGTGTGGTTCAGTTCCTTAGCCTTGGCCTGACACATTCATAGCCAGGATCCTACCCGCCTCCCCAGGCACCGCACTCATACACACTGATTCTGAGTGCAGCTCCCACCTCCAAGTCTTTTCTTCACTGTTACGCCTTTCGTCTAGAATACTTTTCTTCCCAGTGTCCTCAGGGCTGTAACGCCTTGTGCCTTTATGCCTCTTCTCAAATGTTTTTTGTCACTGAGCCTTTCCTGACTAGGTAAAAGATGAACTGCATCTCTCTATCCTTCCCCAGCATTCATAACCCCATGGTAGTCTTTTTTCTCTTTTGTATTGGGTTCTTTATCTTATCACGTTCTGACACATTACATAATTACTCATTTGCCTTTGCATTACTATACTGCATGTAAGCTCCACAGGGGGCAAGGTCCCTGTTTTCTAGGGTAGACTGATGCCCACCATGTACTAGACAATTGAGCACTAGGTGTGGAATGAGTAACAGCCTTGTGTAGGTTCAATACCTTAAATGTGGCCTGGACAGGTTAATTATTTAAATACGAGATGAAATCTGTGTTCTTTGCATCTTTTCACAATCATCATATTAACTATTATAATGGCTAAAATCATTATAATTCCTTTAAAAAAAGACTAGTGAATTGCTATCATTCATATTCAGCTTAATTTGGCTTTTTTTTAAAAAATTGGATGTGGGTTTTCTTTATTTGTGTTTTTGTGTGTGTGTGGAACTCGAACTTGAACTCGCAATGATCCTCCTGCTCCAGCTTCCCAAGTGCCAGGATTACAGGTGTGCGCCACTGCTCCCAGGTGGCATTTTATTTTTTAATTCTTATTTATAAATGAGACTTTTTTACATAGAGGAACAGATTCTTGAAGTAGTTTCCTAGTGTATAATGTGTTAGCCTTAAAAAACTTTTTTTTTTTCTAAGATGATACAACCTCTTGAGATAAAGAACATGAACAATTCTTATTTGGTGTGTTGTTGAAAATCTTCCCATTTTTCCTCTTATTCTCTTCCCCACAGTTATCATAAAACTAACTCATTAGATGGGCTGGGGATATAGCTTAGCAGCATAAGCGCCTGCCTGGCAAGCTTAGGGTCCTGAGTTCTATTCCTGATATAAAACAAAACAAAAGACAACTCATTAGAAAGCTTTGTTTGTCTTTATGCTAGGGATTGAGCCCAGAGCCCCACACATGCTAGGCAAGTACTGTACCACTGAGCTATGTCACCAGTCCTTTTATTTTATTTTGAGACAGGGTCTCACTAAGTTGCCCAGGCTAGCTTTGAACTTGTGCTTCTCCTGTCTCAGCCTCTCAAGGCAACTGGGATTATGGATATGTACCTCATAGACAACTCAAAGTTTTTGTACTTAAATTCATTAAGGAAAATGGAATTCAGGTAAACACTGTCACGTAGTCTTGAATAATGTTTTTTTGGCTTCTTATGGTTAGGTTAAAAAAATTCTCTAAATGAGGAAAATGGACAATTATGGTGAGTAAGGTTCTCAAAAAATTAAAAATAATTATTAAATCTCCTGACTCTCCTTGTAAAAGGTACACTGGCATTTTTAAAAAAGCATCTTTAGTGTAATCATAGTGAGAAATTGTCATCCTGTTAAAATTATCTGAACTTTTGCTTTTTAAACCAGTTAGTCATTTTCTGAAGTTTACGTGAGTTCCTAGAGAAAGAAACAAACAACCCGAAAAGGTCATTTAGACTCACCTTTCTTTTAAAAGACGAGTGAATTCCCATCATTTTTATGTGATGATATGTTTTTGTTAGCATGATTTTAATCTTAAACTTTGTTCCTTAAATAACTCTTATCAGAATCATCTGGAGAACAGTTTGGAAATGGACGTCACCTCAGGCCTAATCAGAGGCCTTGAGGGTCACTTCAGCCCTCTCAGGGTGGATGTGAGAACCGCTCACGTCTAACTTACATGCACTTTAACATTTGACTTAGAAGCTGCTACAACCACTTCTACATTCACTGACACAAATAATGGAGTTTTGTGTGAAATTTCAGGGCAAAAGACTGTTCTGTATTGATTTCTAAGTTTGTGTTTCAAACTTCTTTATGTTATAATGAAATTATTTAAAAATGTGCTTTAAGTTGTTGGCATGAAACTTACTGTTCGTTGTACTTTTGATTTCCAGACAACATTTGCGCAGTTTCAGCACAGTCGGGAGAAAGCGCTGCCCTCAGATAACCTGCGGCACGCCCTTGCGGAAAGCTTCAGAGGTGAGCAGCGGTTTCAGCTGGGGCTCATGGATGATGCTGCAGAGTGCTTCGTAAGTGTTTCTGATTACCCTTACTTTAAAAATTTATTCTTTAATTATGTATATTTTGAGACAAATACAGCAAAAATTTGTAAAAATGCAAAAGTGTCAGACCTGGTCACTGGATCCATATGTTGCCCATTCTTCTGTGTTCAGTTTAAATCCGTCTGTGCTTTGTGTTGTACTTTGGTTTTGATTATGTGTATTGCTTTTCACTGAGTAATAGCTTACAACAATACGTTAAAAATGTATTTATTGGAGAAAAAATACTGCTATGTGTGTACTATATCATTTAAGTCAATGTTCCATGTCCAACACATTCCCAGTAGCAATATTTTGCATTTCATGGGACTAATGGCCAGAAGGAGATCTTGCTGGGCAGCTGTCAGGGACAGTAGTTCTGATACCTACTCACCATGTTGACAGTCATAGCTCTGTTACCACCGTATTAATAATTAGAGCATTCCCTTGATTAGGGGCAGACCTTCTCCTTCTGAAATACGTGTGCTGATTATTAAATGTGTTGGTAATATCACCTGCATTTAAGATACCTCCATTTCTTTTCTGTTGGGCCTTTTTCTATTCTGCAAATTCTGTAAATTCTTCCTGCACAAATTCTTTTAAAGGTTTCCTTTTCATATTATTTCCTGGCTACCACTTTTTCTTATTCTAAGGCTGTCAAATTATTATAAATTTCTTCAGGTTAATGTTTGCTTTTAATTCATATCTAGACTTTTTCTTCTGACATTTAAGGCCATTTTCAGTTAGCCTCAAAATTATCTTTTAGCTTTCTCTCTGAACTTTCTCAGTGAGGTAGTTCCATTCTGTTTCTCCACATCTGTTATATTTCTGTTTAATAGCCTTTGTACACATTTCTGAGATGTTGAGAACTATTTTATCCTATAGCTTTGTCAAAGATCAAACTAAGCTTATTGGGTAAGATATGAGGAGACTACTTTAATCAATTTCCTGGATTTCTGTAGAATTTACTATTTGTAGAATTCATTTGGCATAAATATGCTTTTATCTTGCTCTTAATGAGCATCTTTATGGTTTCCTGGCTTTGATAGAAAACTTATTAACTAATTCAATGCCAGGCATACTTCTGCATAATTAAAATGTGCCAGTAACACTGCACACAATAATGAAACATACTTTTTATATTTTTCTACTTAAAATTGATCCACTGCATAAAATAGATATATTTTGCACCATATATTGGATTAATGTGTCAATACATGCTAGTGATAGTTCATAAAATGTCTGGAAATTCAGGAAAAGTTACCTGCTTTTTCTTAACATAAGAATGTTAGAAATATAGAAAACTATTATGTTGGTTTTCGGGGACTTACTTTGCAAGGAAGCACAATGTAATACAGGACACGTATTTTATATGATTATTTATAATAGTCACCTAAAGAATGATATACAAAAGAGTACAGGAAATCTATCCACACACTATAGACCAAGAATCCAGTTGAGGGCCTGGATCCCACGATAATGTCCTACATGAGTCAGTTTAAGACCTAGAGCTCATAACAATGCCTCTCACGAATGCAAGTGGAAGCCTAGAGCCCATAACAATATCTCATGCAGGCCTGTTTCATGGATCTACGCTGTGAAGGCCCAAAGGTCAGTGGTGGAATCTAGGAAGTCTGTGCCAGCGGGATAAAGGATCTGTGCTAGCAGGCTGAGGGTTCTGCATTGGAGCCAGGAGGCGAGGCTCAGAAGAACCAGAGCTCCCCGGAAAGGTACCACAGCCATCCTCAGCAACCATGAAGTCCCGAGCTCCTCCAGTGATCAAGATGGCCAAGTTACCATCAGGAAAGCCAATGCAGCAAGCTTCTTCAGGAGACTGAGCTGTGTACCTTCTTCCCCTCCAGAGCCAGGAGGTGATCCTCAGAGTGAGGACCAGAGCTCCTCCAAAGTGAACTGAAGCTATTCTCAGTGCCAACAAGGCACCGAGCTCCTTGGAGGATGAAAACAGTCAAGATCATCAGGAAAGCCAGCATGACAATTTCCTCCAACAGAACCAACAGCTTCTACCAGCTCCCAACAGCCTTTATGTGCTTCTCCAGTGCTGTCTCGTATGCTGTTGGCAGCAATCCTCAGGTGGTCCTCCCACACCCGGCACCATGCTTAGTTCAGCTGGGGTTATAAGTTGACCACTAGTTGTCAGTCCACCACAACTATGTTTTCTAATGCTAAATTCTAGATGTCTGTAACTGTGAGTTGGTGTTTTAAAGAATCTTTAAAACTTTTATTAAAAGAATGTGTTATGATGTTTCATTAAACATTTATTTTTAGCTGACATTACTGAAGGTGAATAATTGAACATTTGAACTGCTGGTCAGAGAAGAAAGCTGAAAGGCTAACAACATGTATGCCACTTCTAAACTTACACTTTGGAAAATATTCAGTTGAAGAGAATTGTGTTTTGAAGCGTTCTTTGCAATATTAGCAACTCATTTCTGTTTGATTTTTAAATTAGGAAAATATATTGGAAAGGATTCATTTTCACATAGTGCCGAGCAGAGACGCAGACATGTGCACGTCCAAGTCTTGCATCACTCACCAGAAGTTCGCTATGACTCTGTATGAACAGGTGAAGCGGTGCACTTATTTTATTAGATATGATATTTACGTTTTGTGATCGATAGATTAAACATATGTTTTTACCTATAGTGTATGTGTCGTAGCTGTGGAGCATCATCAGATCCACTACCTTTTACAGAATTTGTGCGGTACATTTCTACAACAGCCTTATGGTAAGGAACTATGAAAGCATATTTAACAAACATGTTAACAACACATTTAAGCACATTGAACATTTATTCTGAAAACCATAGCATATATGAATTACCCCCCCATACCATAAGAGATGCTTATCTGAGTTGGATACTATTTGTGATTTAGCCTCAATGCAGGTTGAATATCCCTTATGCAGAGTGCTTGGGACTTGAATTATTTCAGGTTTCAGATTTTGGAATATTTACATTTATACCTAATGAGATAGCTTGGGGATGGGACCAGAGTCTAGCTATTAAGTTCATTTAGATCTCATATATGTATATCTTACATATATAGCCTGAAGGTAATATTAGACGGTATGTTTAGTTTGCCTGCATTTTGGTTGCAGCTGGTCACAGTGAGGCGAGGTGTGTCCTTTTCTATTTGTGGCATTATGTTGGCACTCAAAAAACTTAATTTCAAATTTTTGATTTTCAGATCAAGGATGCCCAACCTATATATGAACAATTTAGTGAAATGTACACAAATTATTACACGTTTTTGAACTCTGAAGGGGGGTTAAAATGACAGTCAGTGGTAAATAGAACTGCAGAATGATTTCTTTGTTTTTGTTAAGTGGCTCCCTTTATAGTAGCTAGGCTTCCTGTCTGCTCCACTCCGTCCTTTCATGATGATAAAAGCTGGGGTAAGCAGAAAAAAAGAAAAATGTGAACATAATCCTCACTTGCATGATTGCATTTGAGGCCTCAACACTTGGCTTAAATTAAAATTTGTCATGCTTTCCTGCTTGCCCCTTCCCTTTATCAGCTCTCTGTCTGTGAAACAGTAGCTAGTTAAGGATCCAGACATGATCCCTGATTGTTATGTAATAGAGATTGAATACTTTCCAATACTTTCTTGGTACTTGAGAGTATAAAGAGTTGATAGGTGATAAAAAAAATGAAGATTGTAAATGTTACCAGAAATTTTTATGCAAAAGATATAATATGGATTGGTAATTATCAATCAGAATGTGTCCTTGCACAAGTTAGGTGACATGCTGTCAATGTTTCTGTCTGTGCACAAAGTGAATATTATGTGTTCATCCATTTCATATTATTTAAATTTTGGATTTCTTGACTGTAACACTTTTTCTTAATGTTTGTTTATTTGAGTGTGTTTAGTATTTTTCTTATAAATACAAATGAAATTGGGAAATACTGGTATATAGAAACATTCTCTCTAAGTTCCTATCAAATACAGTCAGTTGTGTAGAAGGGGATGTTATTTCAACAAGGACACACCATAAATTAAAAACTATGGAATTCCAACTCTTTTACTGGTAATTAGTAGTGAATATCAGTTACTGAATGCTTACTAAATTCCAGGCTATAAGTTCATCCAAACCTTAACAAAAACTCTATTTTATTGAAGACGAAATGGGCTTAAGGAAGTTAATCTGTTAAGTGGATGGATTACAATTGAAATTCAGACTTATCTGACTTTAGAATTTGTCTAGGAGGCCTCTACTCTGAAATTGTGAGTTTTATGAAACCATAATATTCAGTTTAAATGAGTTTATCATATTTATTGCTTTGTAGTATGCTTGTGAAGAGTTTTAGAAAGGTTTAATTTTAGTTATTAAATACTTGTAAATTATTTAAGCCATTGAACTGTAACCTGTATCCATGAAAGTTAAATTATTATTAAACAGAACCAGAACATTTAGAATGGAAATTAATGAGAATGTTCCAGCTTTGACAGTCCCTTTTTAAAATATTTGAATAGTTGCTTAAAGATACTGAATTAAAATCTTGATATGTAAAAATATGACTTTGGGTGACTGAATAGTGACACACTTTGCCCATAATGTATTAAAACTGTGCAGTTTCTAATAAAATAACTAGAACCTGTACTAGGAACAAAGGCATATATTTGGTTGAAGTTTGGCTGTTTCTTCTTCATTTCGTCAACATAGGGCCATCTCTTAGGTGAAGTTGATAACTTTGCTTCTTGTTACTTTGGGCCAAAGACTGAACCTTTCTATAATTTTGTTGTTCTTGTAAGGACAGAGTTGAAATGAAAGTCCGTATTTACTAAGTAAGATAATAAAGAAAGCATTGCCTTAGAATTACCGCCAGATAGAGCATCTTGCCCTCATTCATGTAGTCCCAGACAAAAGTATAAAATTTCATGTTGTTTTATTCCATACTTGGCCTAATTTTTTATCGTATAGCTGCCAAATTTTTTCACTTTGTAGAAACTTCATGGTCAGTTTTTTGGACAAAGTCATATTTTAGAAGTAATTCTCACCTATATTGACAAATTAATATCTATCGTATGTAGATCTGTTGTAAGTTCATAGACTGGATTTGAGACTACTTTTATCTTTTGTAGCAGTGAAGTTGAAAGGATGATGGAAAGGCATGAACGCTTGAAACCTGAAATGTTTGCAGAATTGCTCCAAACAGCAAATACAGTAGATGATTATAGGAAATGTCCAGTAAGTATAATTTGAAGAATATTAGTATGTTTCTGTGTCTGTAAATTTGAGACTAGGCATTCAAAAATTATCATGTAAATATTCTATATAAAGTTAATTTTAAGAATTTATTATTATTTAAAGTTATTTTAAATAGTTTTATGCCATCTGAGTTATTATCTTAGCAATATTCTTTTAAGATGTCTTAGGCTTTTAAAGGACTTAAGGTAACACATGTTACCTGAAAGTTTTGAACTTCTACAATGTATCATTTAACTGTTTTTTTTTCTTTGAATAATCATGGTAAATTATATTCTTTTTTTCTAGTGTTAATGACTTCAAGGACTTTCTGTTTTTCTTGGATGAATAATCTAATAGGTCTATCAAAATATCAGTACTTTAATTCAAAATAACTTCTTGCTTAATCAATAATTAAGTCAAATATCTAGTTAGAAGTAAATTTTAACATACTGAAAGACTTGAGATATGTTCAGACTATGATTATATAACATAAACTGTAACTTTTATCTGTGGTGTATCTGTTTTGATCTTTCAATGCTTGCTTTTTCTGTTTTTCTGTAGAGTAATTGTGGCCAAAAAATAAAAATTCGCCGTGTTTTAATGAATTGCCCGGAGATTGTTACAATTGGTTTAGTCTGGGATTCTGAGCATTCTGACTTAACTGAAGATGTTGTTCGGAATCTTGGGACATATCTTTATCTTCCTGGGGTATAGTAACTGTTTTCATTCTTTTTCCTTTTAAGTTCCTCTAAAACATCTTTATATATCATGATACATTTAACTTTACTTTTCAGAATGTAAATTTTTTTAAAGGAAGTAATAATATTCCGATGTACTCTGATGCAGATAAATTTAATCAAATGAAGTTAACTGGAATGCCTTTCCCACATAAAGTAATGGCTTTTGACTACAAATGAAACTGTCTTATGCTCTTTCAATCTCAAGTGATGATGATAATGATACTATATTTATATGATAAATATTAACCTAGAAAAGGGATGCTTGTTATTTTTTTAATATATTTTGGTTCACATTACAATTGAAATTTCAGGTAATTATAATTTAGATCCTTTTTATGGATGTCCAAATATGTGACTCAAGAATTCTGAAGAGGGCCAGGGATATAGCTCAGTGGCACAGCACCTGCCTGGCAAGCGTGAGGCTGTGAGGTCGATTCGAGGTACCAAAAAGAAAAAAAAAAAGAATTCTCGAGAGTATGTAATCTATCTCATACTTTGAGTGTATGTATCAGTCACGTGTTATTGGAAATGCTGTGTTACTGAACTAATTTGTAGTGAATTCATTTTATGGGACTTAAAGTTTCTATAGCCTAATTAAAAGTAGTAATTCTGTCATGCTGCAGTGTTAGTGGTGCCTTTAGTATATTAGATTGGGGTAATATGCGTGCAAAATTTTTTTCTTAAGTAAAATATGTGATTATTGAAATTATCCTTTGTTTTATAAGGTATGGTATTAAATGTACATTATTATTTTTTAAACAGCTTTTTTATAGGGTTACTGATGAAAATGCCAAAAATAGTGAACTTCATCTTGTTGGTATGATCTGCTATAGCAGCAGACATTATTGTGCCTTTGCCTTTCATACCAAGAGTTCCAAGTGGGTATTTTTTGATGATGCAAATGTGAAAGAGGTAAGTAAGATTTTCACTTCCTGGAAGTACTGTGACTTTCCACTTTTTAGGAATAAATAATATACAAAATGATGATACACTTAACATATAGTGTAATAATAGATGAATAGAATGATGATAGCATTAAATTCAAACTTTTATATTTGAAAGTTGGCTTATTTTGAAGCCGAATTTTAACCCAGTTTCTAGAATAATGAAAATTTGACTAGTAAATGTTAATATACAAGTATGTAACTATTACTGATACAGACAGTGATCAGACAGTGATGCTCCTACTGTCTGATATATAGTTGCTATATGCGTTTCTGTGTAGATGATTCATAGTTGCTTTGTATAACTTGTAGTGAAAATGTACTTCTATTGACACATTTTCAAATTTGCATGTACTAGGGGAAATTAGATGTGTATATGGTTTATAATTTATATGTCTTGATGAATTATGTGTGTAGATATTATAATATTGTGAAGAAAAGTAATGAAATTCTTTCCTTCTTCATTCATTTGTTTGTTTTAGTGGTATTGGGCATTTAAATCCAGGGCCTCATGCATACTAGGCGAACACTGTACCACTGAACTACTGAGCTATATCTCCAGCTTTTAAAATTCTTTTTATTTTGAGGCAGGGACTCTCAGCAAATTGCCTAGACTGGCACTGACCTTGTAATCCTTGCTAAAGCCTCTTTAGTAGCTGGATTTACCAGGTATATGCATCAACCACCACACCAGGCTAAGTAATAGTTCTTTATAGCAGGGAAATCACCTGTGGAACTTTTTAATAAGCGCAATGTGCCTGGACTCTTGGATTCTGAGTTAATTGATATAGAGGCAAATAATTAAAATTTTTAAGTTGTGCAGAGGATTCAGACTGAACATAGTTGAAAACTATTTATAGTGGAAGTGTTGTTCTCAGCTTCCTGGCTTTGAGAGCCCTATTATGAAGCGGTAACCTGATGTAAATATAGGTGTTCCTTAGTATGTTATAATGGATGGCAAGAAATTTTATTTACTTAAATTTTAATATATAGTCAAGGGCTATTTGTCAGCACTATGATTATTTGTGTAGAGAGATTTCTTAGCATTCAGTAAGTATGGACATAAAAATGGCTGAGAAACTGGACTTTATCAAAACATGAAACATAGAACTTGCTCTTTACTAAGATATTGTTAGAATGAAATGAGTCGTTGACTAGAAGAAAGTATTTGTCAGACATATATCCAGTGAAGACGATGTCCAGAATATATTTAAAAATCTTACAGCTTATTAGTAAAACCACAGTTTAATTTTTAAAAATGGACAAAAGATTTTTACAGTTCATCAAAGAAAATATATGCATGACTCTTGAAACTGTAGTCAGCATATTGCTAGCTACCAGCAAATGCAAATAACAGTTCACAGTGAGATTGCAGTTGATTTGTCTAAACTCAAACTCAAGTATTCAGGTGTAATTGTGGGGTTTTTACTTTGTGATAGGTGGGTTTGGGGTTGCAGTTTGGCTCTCAGAGTCTAAAAGGTTCACCATCACTGATATAGAACAGTTTCATAAAATTTCTGTCCTAAATCTTTGCTGTCAACCCTCCACATCACCTGAGGCTCAGGAAATGACTGCTCTCACCAGAGATTAACCTTGCCACTTATACAATTTCATGTAAAGGGTCTTTTCCTATACAGAGTCCACCCAAAAAATGAACGCACACTTCTCCAGTTCACTGTACTAATGGATATCTGGAAGCTAATGGCCACCACTTTGAGGACTTCTTGTAATTGTAGAGGCCAAAGGAGACTTATTTTAATTTCCTGATGTCTCAGTAAATTCAGTATTAAAATAGTTGTATAAGTTTTTTTCGCCTGATAAGACATTTTTTGGGCAGACTCTGTATATACCAAATCTGGCTTCTTTCCCTCAGTATGTCCTTAAGATTCATTCATGCTGTTTGTATCAGTTCTTCATTTTCATTGTAGTGTTTCGTTTCATGGCTGTTATAACAGTTTATCTGTTTACTTGTGGAGGAGTAAGCAATCTTTGAGTATATTTTTCCCCATTGCTTTTAGATAATCTGGGGTTTTTTGTAGTGTTTGTTAAACTTTATTTGGAATTGCCCAATTGATTGCCAAAGTAATTGTACTGATTTGTTTTCCTATTTGCAATACATGAGAAGGGCTGGGGATATAGCTCAGTGGTCCAAGCGTCTGCCTGGCAAGCACAACATCCTGAATTTGATTCCTGGTACCAAAAAAAAGCAACACATGAGAACTCCTGAGTCCTCAGCAGCACTCCATGTTGGCAGCCTTTTTACTTTTAGCCTATTATCTTGCACCTTGGATATCCCTCGTGGATGATAAAGTTTTGAGTATTTTTTCAAGTGCTTATTGGCTGCACTACATGCCTTTTTGGTGAAGTCTGTTCAAATGTTTTGCCAATTTTCAAAATGGATTATGTTATTAATGAGTTGTAGGAATTCTTTATTTTGTACACTAGTCCTGTATTAAATGTAGGATGTTATTTTTTCAATTTATTATGGTTTCTCGTTCCAAACAGAAAGTTATTAATTTTGATTGAGACCATTTTATAATTTTTTCCTCTCACAGATTGTTTGCTATGTTAAGAAATCTTTGACTTGCCCGAGGTTGTAGATTTTCTTTAGTTTTCTTGTGTAAATTTTGCAATTTTGACATGACCCATTCTGAGTTATTTTTTGTTTTATGGGTAATGGGGTAAAAGTTCTTTTTCTGATATGGGCATCCAGTTTTTCCAGCATCATTTGTTCAACAGACTTTTTTATACTCTTTCATTGCATTGCCTTAGAATCTTTGAAAAGTCAGTCAGCTATATATGTGGAGAGCTTTTTAAACTATGGTAATTAAACCTTTTTTTTGGCCCTGTGTATTGAACCCCAGGGGACTGCACATGCTAGACAAACATTCTACCTCTGAGCTACATTTCCTGCCCTGACCATTAATTCTTCATACAAAAAGTCTATCATTTTTGCCTATCATTTTTAAAAATGAGAATCTTAAAGAGATTTTTATTTAGGCTAGTTATTATTCAAAATTAATTATATAATGTTTGAACTGCCAACATGTGAATATCTTTAAAATTTTTAAATACAAAATAAAATAGAAAGTCCGTCCTTTTTTGTGTAACACATTGATTTTAAAGTTTTGTTTGTATTCATCGTGGTTTTTAAAAAGGTTGGCGCTCGATGGAAAGATGTGGTCTCCAAGTGCATTCGGTGCCATTTCCAGCCCCTGCTTCTGTTCTATGCAAACCCAGAAGGCACAGCAGTTTCTACTGAAGATGCACTCAGGCAGGTTGTCAGCTGGTCACATTACAAATCTGTTGCAGAAAATATGGGTAATTCTTTTCATAAATATTTTTTGATGTCTCTCTCTGATCAGAATCACCTAGGAATACTTATATTAGTATAAGGTAAATTCTAAGAGTAATTTCAAAATTGGGTTTCAGTAAAGTTGGGTCAGGAAAATTCCAGTGCTTTTTGTATTTCTTTTGAGTGGAACTTTTCCCTGTCAGTGCCCCAGAAGTACCTTAGGAGTTACCCACTGTAATGGTCGTATAGACACAAGAGGCTGATAGCTCTTTGTAGCAGCAAATATTGAGATTTAAAATGATTCAGTAAACAGTAACAGTTCAAAGCAGCTAGGCCAGTTTTTGACATATTACAAAGCTTCTAGAAATCGTTAAGGCATTTCAGTCCCTTAAGTTTTAAGTAATTTTGTTTGCATTATTAAAAATACCTAAAAAGATGATTGCAACATGACTTCTACTGGGAAGGAAGGGAATAATATATTGTTGTTTATCTTTTCAAGGATGTGAAAAGCCTGCAAGTTATAGGTTGGATAATTTAAAAGAAAATGGATGTAGTGATCAGGCAAAACTGAGAGATAATCAGAAACTTCAAACCACTAATATTTCATCATTTAGTCGGAACCACATTCAGACAAGTGGTGGTAGAGGACCAGGTGCGTGTTTAAATTGTTGTTTCTATGTTCTCCAAGAGGGGTTAACCTTTCTGTTTTCCTCAGTTACTGAACCTGTAATTGTTGGTTATAACTATACAGAAGATGGTTGTTAAATTAGCTTTCCTTGCCATGAAAAAAAGAGGTAGATTTATGTCTTTTGATGTCTCTGTTTCTCTGTGAGCTATAGTTTTATGACACCAATTTGACTCGAGGAGCTGTTGAGTTTCTCTGTGCACTCATAGCTGTGGTAGGCCTGAGGTAACCTGCATGGTTGCCAAGGAAGGCTATAATGTGGCTTTTCCTTCGATGAGTTACTAATCAACTTGAGAAATAAAAACGTGGTTAATAATATGGCTTAGCTACCAAAGTTAAAATTATCATTAGCGAATGCAACTGTAGTTTGTTCTCACCCTCATTTTTATCCAGCTCTCATTATTGTCCTCTCATGACTTTAATTTTCACAGGCCAGGTCATGTGACTTGGTTCTAAAATGTGACATCACAGTATTGTGTGTAGTTATGGTTTAAAAATACATAAAATTCTTTAAAGCAATAAATAAAAGTTTAAAAATAAAAGTACATAAAATTCTTAATTGGGTATTCAAGATGATTTTATAAGCAACTTTTAATTATGTTAATGAAATAATGTCCACCTATAAATGTAACTCATTTAATCAAGAGTATTAGTAGGCAGAATTAATAATTATCAACAAAGAACTACAATAAAGACTGAAAAAATTTTAATGAAGGCTGGGAGTATAGCCTCAGTTGTGGAGCACTTACCTCGCTTGCTCACAGTCAGTCCATAACATTGCCAAGAAAAAACATTCTGAATAAAAGTATAACTGTTTCTTATATTTTGTTGATCATCTTAGATTAAACACTTTATTTTTTCAGTAGAAACCTACTTTAAGCCTGGAAACAATGTGTATGCGCTTTACAAGACATCTTGGGTTCATATTCCCAGATGTACATTTACAAACTACATGAATTTGACCTGTTTCCTTACCTGAAGTGAAAATAGCAATTGTGTCTACCTTAGAGAATTATATCAATAAGACATTTACAGTGCTGCCTGGTGATCAGTGTGTTAGTTTGACCTCTTATTTATCTTAATGGCAAACTTCCTTTTTTCTCTACACTTGCTTTAGGGACTATACAAGAATTTTTTTTTTTTTTTTTTTTTTTAAGACAGCATGTATCTCCAGTGTCGGGGAAAATCAATTGAATTTTTAGTTAAGCATAAAGATGAGTTCATGTTTATTTTTTAAAAATAGAATTATAACATTTTTACTTCAATTGTTACTTTTGTTCAACAACTTGAAAACTGATCTATGTCATCTTAAGAATAATTTCTTTTACAGTTAAATTAAGTCACAATGATCAAAGGGAAAAGATAAAAGAAATTTTCAGAGAATGTGCTATGAAAGCCATTGAACAGAAAAACTTACTTTCTTCACAAAGGAGAGATTTAGAAAAGGGACAAAGGAAAGATATAGGCCAACATAAAGGTAAGACCTTATGGTGTTCATTTTAAAGGAAATGCTAGAAATCTCATTTTCAAATGAGTTTTATAACTTTAATATATTTTAATATCGTATCTGTATATTTAACTTATATTTTGTATATTACATACTATATTTTATGTTTTTCAGGTTTCTATAGTGTATCTACACTAAATCTAAAAGTTCAAACTGTTCCTTGTTCTTACTTAATTCTAACCTGGACACTAGTGTTTGCGTTTTGATGTTTTAACTTTTATTTATAAATGCAATTCATTCATATGCTGTATTCAGATAGTAAGGAAATGTATAAAATTGACTGCAATTTCTGACCTTCCTTTCACTGTTAATACAGTAATTTTCAGTTCATTATAAAAGTCTTTTTATGGCTTTATGCTCTTTTTTATGGGCACAGCATAATTTAATTGATATGTATGGACTTTAAACATTGCTTAGCTGGTGGCGTCCTTTCACCTGTGCCTTTGTACATTTTTGTGACTAGCCAGAGAATCAATTCTTTCAGAGGAATTGCTGGGTCAGGATACATTTATTTCTGGTTTGACATAGGACTCATTTGCCCTCCTGAGAGATTAAACCAGTCTGCACTCCCACAAGTGGTAATTGCCTGTCTCTTCACTCATCCGCAGTCGGTTCTATAAACTTTTACATCTTTACCAATTTAAGAGGTGGAAAATACTTTATCATGTTTGTTAATTATGATTTAGAATGCTTGGTTTAAAAAATTGTTTTATCTTGTTTTTTGTTGTTGTTTTTTTTTTTTTTGTTTTGTTTTTGGCTTTTCTCCGGTACCGGGAACCGAACTCACGACCTTGCGCTTGCCAGGCAGGTGCTTTGCCGCTGAGCTAAATCCCCAGCCCCTAAAATTGTTTTATCTTATGATCTACCTTCGAGGTCATTTTTTTTCGAAAGCTCATTTCTTCTGTAGTGCCTCTTATTAAATATAAATAGGGACTGGTAAAGCACTTTTCAAATAAGCAGTAGGATATAATTTAATTTTTGTTACTTACCTGTGATGCCTGGTTTCTGAAGTTACTTAGCTTGTGATTATAACATTGCTCTAAGGGGTAGTTTGTGTCTTTAATCATCATCATCATTATCATCATCATTATTGTTGTTATTTAAATATAGTTGATGAAAACCTCCCACATTTCAAGTCTGGATCACCTCCTGCCCCAAATGGCTTTAGACAATATGAGAATCAACATCTGTATCACAGTCAAGGAAGAGGACCCTATAAACACGACCGAGTTTCCCATCAGAGTCGAGCTTCTGAACAAATAACTTCAGGCAAATCTCAGATACTTGTTCCAGGAGAGAAAATAACAGGCAAAGTTAAGAGTGACACTGGCACTGGATATGATACAGACAGCAGCCAAGATTCTAGGGATAAAGGAAGTGGCTGCAACAGCAACAGTAAAAGCCGGAACCGAGGTTGGAAACCTATGAGAGAAACATTAAATGTCGATAGTGTTTTTAGTGAAAGTGAAAAAAGACAGCATAGTCCAAGGCATAAACCAAATGACAGTCACAAACCTAAAGGTAGCAAAGATCAGAATTTTAATAACTGGCCAAAAGAGAATCCAAAGCAGAAAGGTTTAATGACCATATATGAAGATGAAATGAAGCAGGAAATAGGAAGCAGAAGTTCCCTTGAATCTAATGGAAAAGGAGCAGAGAAAAATAAAGGCATCACAGAGAGTAAAGTGCGTGGTGAAAACTGGCAGATGCAGAGGACCGAGTCCGGATACGAAAGCAGTGATCACATCAGTAATGGGTCTGTTGGTTTGGACTCACCCGGTACTGATGGAAGTGGCACAGTGACAGATGTCAGTGGCGCTAAAGAACTGGTATCTTTCAGGTAATACACAAATTGATGCATGTTTTTTTTTCTGCTTACACCCCTCTCTTGTTATTATTTGAATTTTCAAAGTTTGGGATCAACTAAGTATAAAGGAAAGATTATTAAAGAAACGTGAGCTATTTCAGTTTTTACTTACTTCCTAGCTCTAAAAATAGCATTTATTTTTAGGAAATTTGGAAAGTACAAAAGTACATGGCCATTCTTTCTATCACTGTCAATTATTGATATGTACTTCAAGTTTTTAAAGTGTAGACTTAAATGGGCTTCACCTCAGTTAAGCTGATTGTGTAATTCTTCAATCTACATGAAACTGTCTCATTGCTAACATTTTAACTGACCTGGGGCTGTTTTCTGCCATCACAATCCAGTTCCCCAGTGAGATATTTTCCCAGTAGAGATATTTTCCCTTTACCAAATATTTTTAAAAATTTAGCCAAATAACTAAAATTGTGTTCAGTTAATGAATTGTTGAATGTATAAATTCATTACTGTTGATAGTATATTTGGACTTTTTTTTTTTTTTTTTTTTTTGTCTTTTTGAGACAGGGTCTTGCTATGCAGTTCAGGCTGGCCTTGAGCTCACTTTGTAGCCCAGGCTGGCCTCGAACTCACAACAGTCTTCCTGCCTCAGCCTCCCAAGTGCTGGGATTACAGGTGTGTGCCACTGCGCCTGGCTTGGACTTTTTTTTATAACTTCTAAAACTTACTTCTAGGTTAGTGGCTGATTGCTTACCACTTTTTAATCCTACTTTTAATCCTTTTGAAACATATTAGCTGGTGCTTGACCACATTCATAAATGAAAAGCTAGATTTACAAAAATTAGCTAGTCATGTTTATTAAAGTAATTGTTTTCATAAAAAATTAAGGACAGTTTTTCCTTACTTTTTTTTTTTTTTTTTGGTTTTTTGGTTTTTCTCTGGTACCGGGAACCGAACTCACGACCTTGCGCTTGCCAGGCAGGCGCTTTTGCCGCTGAGCTAAATCCCCAGCCCCCCACTTTTTCCTTAGCAGGGTAATTTTATGACACTTATTGGTAAGAAGTAGCCAGCAGTAGTAGCAAGGACAGGACTTTATAATCAAATGGACTTGCATTTTAATTATTGGGCAAATTAATTTGATTTTTATGGTCTTAATCTATTGTAATATGAAGATCATAACTACTTTTAAATGCTGTGAGACGTAAATTAAATAAGATACATTAGGCCTATAGGATATTGTGTGACATATAATTTTTAAAAGGTTTTTCCTTTCTTTTTCTTAAACTAATCCATAATAATTGATGTGTTTGGTGTGTTCTGTTTTTCTAGTGACCAAATTAAGACAGGCAGCACAAATATAGAACATGTGGACTGTTTTTCCCCTCAGAGCAAAAACCATTTGGAAGGTAAAAGTTTTATTTAACTACACTGTAATAGTTGCAGTAAGGAATAAATTGCAGTAATTTATTGTTTTTTTTTATGAGATTCCTAAGAACAAATACTGTATGGCAATAAAAATTATTTTTAAATGACTTTAAACATCAAAAATGAATTCTTTTTATTAAGACAATTTGTCATATAGTAATAAAGTATAAAAAGGAAGAAATAAAACTGTTATATATATATTTTCTATCCATGATGTATTTTTTACATCTTTATCTGATTAGTGAAATAAGCTTTTGAAGTTTATAGCCTATTTAAATGTACTTTATGGGTATGTCTTTAATGTTACAGTATTAAAAGCATCAGAATACTTGCTTTTTCTACATAGATGATAAAATATTTGAATCCCTACCTCTACCCCAGTAGCAGCTTGCATTTTGCTTCCATAGGAGAAACCTTTCAATGCGTTACTGTAATAGACATCCTGAGTGATTTGGGACTCAAATAGGCAGGACTATCTATCTTTGGCAGCTTTTTAACACTTTATTTTTACTTAAGAGGTGGCATGTTTCTACATTTGCAAAGAAAAGGGTTTATAGACTTGGTCTTTTTTACCTTATCTCCACTCTCCATTTTTAAAATAACAGACATATGAGATAGGCACACAAAGAGTGGTCCTCTTTTCTGAGATAAGAATAAAGAAGATAAGAATGGTCCTGTTGTTGGGCACAGGCCTGTAATCCCAGCATTTGGGAGGCTGAGGCCGATGGATCACTGAGTTTGAGGCCAGGTGGGCTGGCTACACTGTGAGTCCAAGGCCAGCCTTAACTGCATAGTGAAACCCTGGTTCAGAAAGACAAAAACAAAACAAAAACCAATGGTCCTCTTGCTGATAAGTTTATGAGTAACAAGGAAAGAAGCAGTGGGGTTTGTCTTTGAAGGCTTTTCATAGATGAGAATGACAACTTCAGGCAGTGAGCGAGTGAGCAAAAGGGGACTGGTCTGCAGTGGTCTAGGGTATGGGTCACACAGTAGCAGTAACTTTTGGATCCCCCTCTCTTGTTGTAAGTTTTTTTGCTCATGACGCATGTCTGGTGGAGGTCAGAATGGAGTATCTTCTGGGTATCACTGGGCCCCAGACTTATAGTGGGGTTGGGGTGGGACCTGAAGGAGAATACGACATGGAGAATCATTTGTAAGCGCTTAAAACTTCAATTCAGAAATGACACAGTGCACTTGCACTGACATCCTCCAAGCAAGGCAAGGCTTTTAACCGGGCCTAATTTTAAGGAAGGCAGAAAAGTTTAACCTTGTAGATAAACAGAAGGGTGTGCACAATTCTGATGACTATCATGGGAGTTAATACAGTTAAGAAAGGTTGGTGAACAGCATTCTGGAAAAACTCGGTTCAGAAGTAGTATGTGATCATGTGGCATTATTATAGGTGATTTGTTAGTAACATGTAGCAGCTTATAAGCAAAGAGTAAGTTTGAATGTATACAGGATACAGGATTGTTACTGGCAAGATGTACCTGGGGAATTGGGGGTGAGGAAAGCCATAGCAAGGGAGTCACTGATGTAATCAGAGACAGTGTTTTCAAGTTTTAGAATTCAGAGGAAAAAGGATGTAATTTTCACACGAAAAATCAGGCATGAACAACAAACTTTAATGGTTTTTAGTCTTTATCATCCTTAAAGTTTTTAGAGAGATTATTTTTCAAGTTGCAGACATGATTAATATGATTAATTGTTAAATTATTTTGTTTTCATCAAATGTATAATATCAGAAGGAAACACTTATATTAAGGAAATAACTTTCCTTTCCCATATTATAATGTCTCGCCTGTTTTAAAAATCTGATAAAAGTCAGTAACCAAATATTACAGGAAACAGTAAAGGGTTGGCTAGCAATCACAGCAAAAGTCAGTGAGTTAGAACAATACCTGCAAGTTAAGTAAGTGATGCTTGTTTCCTGATAGTTATAAAAACACAAGCTCACAGAGATTTTAGTGGCCAAGAGTGCATTGCTATAAGAGTTTTGCAGCGATTCTCCCCAGAATATGAAAGAGTATGTATGTAAAGCACCAATTAAAATTTCCTTTTCCTATGGTAAAATATACATAACAAAATTGACCAGTCCAGTTATTTTTAAGGGTACAGCTCAGTGGCATTAAGTACTTTTACACTGTCAGGCACCTGTTACCACTGTCTACCTCTTACACGCTCATGTTCTCACACTGAAACTCTCCCCATTAAACAACTCATTCTCATTGTCCCTTTCCCCCAGCCCCTGGCAACCACCATTCTCATTTCTGTTTCTGAATTTGGCTTCTCTACATGCTTCATAGTTAGAATTATATGGTATTTGTCCTTTCCTGTCTGGCTTATATTACATTCAGCTTACTGACTGTGTTTATAACATATATCAGAACTTCAGTTCCTTTTAAGACTCAGTAATAAACTGTTGTATGATATTTTACATCCTGTTTAGCTGTGTATCTGTTGATGGGCATTTGAGTTGTTTTGGCTATTGTGACTAGTGCTGCTGTGACCATTGGTTTGCAAGTACCTGTTTAAGTCCCTGTTTTCAATTTCTTTGAATATCCACTAATGCAATTGCTAGATCCAGTGGTACTTCTATAATTAATGTCTTAAAGAACCACTGTAATGCTTTCCGCATAGCAGCACCCCGTTGCAGTCCCTCCAGCAATGCACAGGGTTCCAATCCCACCATCTTTCCCAACCCTTATTTTCTAAGTTTTTAGAAGTACCTTGCAGTGATTTATATAACCTCTGTTTATTTAACAACATAAATTGCACTGTTTTAAAGTTTTGGTTTTTTTTTTTTTTTTTTCCGTACTGGGAATCGAACTCATGACCTTGCACTTGCCAGGCAGGCGCTGTGCCACTGAGCTAAATCCCCAGCCCCTGTTTTAAAGTTATTTCTTAATAAACTTCAAAGTCTACCATAGTTTTCTGTGCTCTTCTTTGCCTTGAGAACTTTTGTTAATGAAGAAATTTGTGGTATCGCTGTGTGTTTCCTTCCCCTATCTTAGAACTAAGAATGTACAACAAATGATGTAGGACTTTCCCCCAACCTAAAAACTTGCCCAGTGTGGTTTTTTCCATCACTAAGGAAAGTTTAATTTTTTGTCATTGTATATGATTTTCTTGGTTCTTTCCTATGTCTTATTTCCTGTGTCTTATTTATGAAGTACACTAACATTAATAATCTATAGAATAATTTTCTATCAGTGGCTACAAGATTTTATAGCTTAAGGAGCCTTAGAATTTTTTCATATTTTGTTTGGCATTTAAGTCAGGCAATATTAATCAGGCAATATTAATCTATAGAAGTACTGGTACTAAAGACCAAAATCTATATTAATGTCATGATTCCTTTGTTGTTGTTTTCATTAACAGAAATGTTATGTTGGCTTTTCTGCTTGTGCTTTACATGTTCTGCTGCACATCTGTCCCTACACTGTGCAGAGCTGTTATTTGGGAACATGGTTGAAAGTGCCACAGTGCCATTTGAAATGTTTTAGTGACTCTTTTAAAGTGAATTTCTAGTGAAGGAATGTCAAATCCCTTAAATTTACAAAAGGAAGAAAAGATATTACTGATGAAATGATGCATTCAAAAGCATGTGGTCAGAAGAAAGTGTCACATATTTGAACAATATAAGTGGTTTGGCATATGCAAGGCTAGTAGTAGAAATCATGCAGTAATGCAAGAAGGATAGCGCATGATGAAACTTTGTGCTATTTTTAATCCTACAGAGGTGGAGAGGTACAAAAGGACAAGGACAGTGGCGTATTGTAACTTGTATTTTAGAAGACTCTGGTGGAAGTGTAGAGGGTGAAGTCCGAGCAGTAGAAAAAAATTACATGACTATTATCATAGCCTAAGAAAGAAAAAATGAGAGCACGAACGGAGGCAGTCCCAGTATTGAGGAAGATGGTTGGAGAGAGAACAAGCATACATGAGCAGGAGAAGGAGTTGCCTTTTATGAGAATGAGGAAAAGAAAGGAAGCAGCAGTGGCCATATTGGGGGGGTTGCATAAATAGATGCACCACTTAGCAAAGTGGGGGCTGTAGGGAGAAGGAACAGGTTGAAGGGGTGGAGGGATGCCATGAGTAGATTAGGATTTGTTGATTTCATTATTTAGGCAAATAGATTTTATTAGGCAGCTAGGAACATAAATGTAGAGGTCAGGAAAGATGTTTATTTGGTAAACATCAACATATCTGGGAGCTCAAAGCCCCATACATGGGCAAGACCATTCAGGAAAACCGGAGATTATAGGGGAAAAAATAGATGAAGTAGGGAAGCTGAGCTTTGCTAAGGAAAAGAGGTGAGTCAGAGGTAGAAGCAGCAACTGCAGAAAGCCATGGAAGTATAGCAGAGAGGAAGTTAGCCAGGAAGAGCCAGAGTGGAGAGTGCGAGGGAAGCGTGGCCACACACGAAGCACAGTAAGCACTAAAAGGCGCCAGTGTGATGGAGGAGGGTGTAGTGAAAGCAGGGCTGGAAGAGTATTAGAAGTAGAAACAAGGTTGAAGTAAGACTGCAGAATTTAGAAAGGCCGTGTTTTAACTTGTAAATGCTTCGGGAAAAGAAAAGCTAAAATGTGAATATTAGGGGCTTCTGGCTAAAGGACATTTAGGTATTCATTGTACAATTCTGCACAATTATTTCCAAACAAAGTTAAAAAAATAAAAGATCATAGTAGAATTAAAAGGAAATCAAAAGTGAACAGTCAGTTTTGTCAAAATCATTATTCTGAATAACAGTAGTTTTGGTTTTGTGGTTTTTTTTTTTGTTTTTGTTTTTGTTTTTTGTACCAGGAGTCGAACTCATGACCTCAGGCTTGCCAGGCAAGTGCTTATGCCAGTGAGCTATATCCCTGGCCCTTGTGTTTTTTTTTTTTTTTCTTAAATGGAAATTCTTGGACGTTTATATTGTAGAAGGCAAAGAAGCAATGAAGTACAGAAAAGAAAGATGTGAAGAGCAGAACAGAAC